CTAAATAACGAACTAGTGATGTCAATGCTGGATCCGAAGTGCCATATGTTCTTAAGGGGACAGTTTTCATAGCCACATTGTGTAGCCAGTCTTTTTTCATAAGACCCTCTGTGATTTCAGATCTGAAAAGTCCCGGCGATATTGCATTCACTCTGATTTTGTGTACTCCCAATTCCATAGCCATAACCTGTTAAACTTAATAATAATTAGAACCCTTCACTTACACTACCATGTGCAGAGACAACAAAAGCAAAAACGAGATAGGTGCGGTAACACACTGGTCAACCAGTGGTCAATGTGACAAATGGCTATTTAACAATAAGCAGGTGCTTATCATCAATTTTAGCTAAGAATTTGAAGTGGAAAAACTAAAAATATATATTCTACCTTTTGTGTGCCTATGATTCTTATTTCTTATTAACTACAGTTCTCTAATTCTTAAGTTTTTTCCTTTCCACAAGAATAACATTTGATACATCTTCAAATTGCTCCCGGACATTGAATCTTTTTGCTTTTTTCCCCCTTTTTATCAATTGCAATGCCGTTTCGACAACACTGTCCTATAAACCATAATTCACAAAGCACAATATTTGGCAAGAACAAGTCATAATTAAAACCATGATGAATCTACAATATCTCAAACAATGCCAAGGCAAAGTTTCGAAAAATATCGAGTGAAATTGTATGTGTTTGCCCAGCACGAACTCGAACTGCAGGCCATGAGTTGTGATACCCATGGACCTGCTTAGATTCATTTGGTTGATTGACCATAACCCATGATCTGAACTTTAACCCAACAAGGAACTCATGCAATTGGGGTGAGCCAAAGCTCAAATTGGACTCTGATTAAGCTTCGGTAAAAGCTCAGTAACTTGGCTCAGCCTAAGCCAAATAGCTTCAAGTCATTAACCATTCCCATACAAAAGATAGACCATATTAAGATGACTAGTTTTCTAGCATTTAAAACAGTGGCGATTAATGAACTAAAAAGACAAAGAATCAAAAGCTTCCTTAAACCAGGAAGGAGAATAGAAGGAAATTTAGAGGGTGTCCCATAGGCCTAATAACAATATTCCTTTAGTAGACTGAAAAAGAATTGAAATACTTCTAGGCTCATTTCTGTCCTTAAGTCTATTTTTTCTTATTAAATCCACCCCTTCCTTATTCAAAGACTTTGTAATGGTCTTCTTTATTGCTTGTGTTGAGCAACACCCACCACCCCCCAGAGGCAGTGCATTCCTTCAAGTATTTATAATTCAATTATAGGCCAAAAGCCATGCTAAGCCAAGTGGATTAAAAAAAAAAGTACGCTTCCTTTCTCTTAAGCTATTAACAAAATTATGTTAAGTCAATGGAGATACCTTTGCCAAGGTGTTTACACCAGCCTTTGAACAATTGTATGCTACAGCTCCAGGCAAATATCCACGATGAAGACCTGCAATGGAAGATACATTGATGATTGATCCTCCCTGATCAGCGTCGCGCATGCGTATAGAAACATATTTTGACACCAACCAGGACCCTGTCAAATTTGTCTTGAATACATTATTCCATTCCTCCTCAGACAATTCGAGCACAGAACTCACATTACCTAAGGAACACAGATGGAAATGAGCGATTATGATACACCAACAGTGACATGCCACAGAGGTACAATATGATACCCAAACAGTGAGTCTGTGATAAAGGTCAAACTCTAAATATTAAGACACTAAATTTGGGAGCATGAAATTAATCACTATCTAATGTTTTATAGTGCCTAATGCATATTTTTATCTTTGTTTTCTTATAGAACCTTTGTATGTTAAAATATGAAAACAACCACCGCTTAAAATCAAATTTTATCCATTTCAAATCATGCATGAAATGACTCCCCAGACATACGCCGACTCAGGTCTTGCAAGAGTGTCTAAGAGTGTGGAAGACGCACATTGTTCTTTGTCATTGACACACACAGAACGTGCTGGACTAAACATAACCACACAGATAAGCAAAGGTTTCCCTTGTTTGCATTTGTCATCAACACCTAACTACACTTTCACCTACTTGACTCATCTCATTTGACATCAAGTGCAGTAGCATGACAAAGAATAGAATCGACATCTTAAACTACCAAAGAACATCAGCATGTGGTCATCTCAAACATATCACATTTTACAATACTCAATTATCACATTTTACTATCTATATTGTCCATGGAACTCTGTTTGCAATGAAGACCCAGCCAGCTGATACTTGTAGCACTCAAATGGATTCAAGCTCACAAATAACATATTAAAAATCATCAATTTTTTATTGTCTGCCCATTTCCCATCATTCTAGAGTTCAAAAACTAGTCAACCAATTATAATGCAAGAGAAGAATACAGATAAACTTAACAAGTCAAAGCATCAGGGAAATCCCAGAACTTGAATTTACTTCGAATTTTAAAAATGGAAGTTTCTGGTTTTCCTGTACAGCCTAAATCTTATTGTTGGTTCTAGTACCTCAATTTATCTTTCTCCAAAAACCCAAGCACAATATACCACATATGTTAAACTTAACACACACAAAACAAGAAAATGCAAAATTTTCTCAGGAACCAAAAACAGAAAGCAAAATCCTAAACAACAATCAAAGTTCACCTCTAACACCGGCATTGTTAACGAGGGCGTCGATGCGCCCAAACGCGTCCCAAGCCTTGTTTACAGACTTCTCAATAGCTGGCCCGTCGGCGCTGATATCGAGCTCCACAGCCACGGCCCTGGAGCTTCCAGGCCCATTCACAGAAGAAGATGAAGAAGATGCGGTAATGGTTAGCTGGTTGATTTCATCACAGACGGATTGAAGGCGGTCGATGCGGCGAGCCGCGGCGACGATCCTGCATCCAGCTTTAGCCAAGTCCAAGCAGAACTCGCGGCCGAGGCCAGACGAAGCGCCGGTGACCATGACGACCTTGCCGTGGAGGTCGCGCCATGGCTCGAGGTGGTCCGCGACTTGGTTCGCCATACAGTCTGTATTGGATTTGTTTGGTGGATGAGTCGGGTGACAAAATGCCCAGGAGGGAAGAGAAAATCCACGGGGTTTGCTGTCGTTTTTACATGTGGAAGTTTTGTTGCGAAATCTGGACCGTTTGTGGGTTCTGTATGGGCGGTCGAGATGTGGGTCAACTACCTGCTTCATGACAAAACAAAGAGGATGTTTGGTAAGGTCGCAGGAGGTGGACACTTACGTTGAATTGGGAAGGTTGGCTACTACTTTGATTTTATCAATTTAATTTTTGAGAGGTTTTGGAAAAACACAAAGGAGAGAAAAATTTTGTAAAAGAAGCTAAAATGGACAAAATTGCCCTTATTTATTTTTGAATTTCCTAAGGAATCCTTTGCATTTACATGTCTTTGATTTGAAAGTTGAGAGGTTTTTCTGTCTTTTTTGAAAAAGCTTTGGCTTTTTCCAAAAGCGAAATTATTATTTTTGCTAAAACCTAAATTTACTTTAATTTTTTTTGTTTGGTTAATTTCCGGTTTTTCAGGTATTATATTACATTTTTTTTATGCGGGACTAAGTCGCTCGTGAGTTCTCAGATGCTTAGGATGAAAATTAAAATGAACCGTTTTTGTAGATACAAGTTACACAAAAATGAAAATACTAACCATTTTTGTATATTTACGTATTTTTCTGGTTTCAAATAGATGTGTTGGTTCATATATAGCTCAACATTAACACATGTAGAAATGAAGGTGCACATGGACTTCCTAAGCATGTGTGTATTGATAAGAAATATTTTTGGGAGACAATATAAACTTGGTGATTATTTTAACGTGTGGTTTGTGGTGAGCTTGAATCCATTTTATTGGTACAAGTGTCGGCTTGCTCAGTCTTCATTGCAAACCATATAAAATAGAACACATGAATCATGATACTAGTGGGAAGACACGTTTTTTCTTTGGTAGATTAGGAAAAAGAGAAAAAGTTTGATTAGTGATTTTTAACATGGGCATACAATATAAAATTGGGAAAAATGCGTGGAATTATGGGAAGACACGTGTTATTTACACTAACCACGTTTATATTTTTAAGGTTTTGGAAATTACACTAACACACTATGAGCTTTTAAATTATTTTCACAAAACTCCTTATGTTAATTTTTTCACCTAAAAATCGTCGATCTCATCAAACAAATTTCTCCACATGACAATATTAACCTCATAGATTAGATTGCACACCATGAGGTCTAATTGTTGAAGTTAATTTTTTTATTTGAATAAGTTTTTTTTTTTAATGAATCATAAATTTTGACTGAAAATTAAAGAAATGAGATTTTTGTTTAGTTTTTGCTTTGAAAGACTACAAAAACTAGGGAAAAAACGAGTTGAGAGATCAAAATGTAAATCATTGACAAGTTTAAGGATCCATTACTTCAAAAAAGATAGTGAATAATGGCATTGAAGGTGTGGACGGACCTATAAGACCGTGAGAGAGATGAGGGAGCTTGAGAATGTGACGAATATGAGGGAGGGTGAGACTATGAGTAGGTTAGGAGAGATGAATAGGCCAACATTAGATTCATAAGAAAAATTACTTATATATCAATATGTTGGCCAACATTATATAACCATTCTGGTTCAGTTGTTAAGTGACAAAAACCTAGAATTGATCCGGTTCAAGCCAAAATCGGTTACCGGTTTAAACGTCCACCCCTATGAATGCTATTCGGAGCAAGTAAAAATTGGAGATGGGCTTGATTGGGTTTAAAAAGTAAACCATGCTAACGACCAGACAGTCCACTAGAAGCCCAAAGTTTTAGTTCAAATACATGCAAGCCCACTTCTCCATTAACCAGCAGAAGAGGATGGAAGAAGAAGGCACAAGACCCGACCATTCATAATGGGGAGCAGGGAGCACAGAGCAGAGAGCACAGAGCAGAGCAGAGATTGGGAGAGGGAGACAGTGAAAAAGACGTTGTTGTCATTTCTTGAGGAATTTTCGGACATAATAGACGCTCCCGAATCTGGATTTCACTTCAAACAAGGCAAACTGAGTTTTTTATTTTTTATTTTTTAAAAGAAAAAAGAAAACTGCTTTTCAGGCTTTACTGCTGGCGATGCGTGCCCCAATGTGTTTTCTGAAGCAGAAAAGGAAAGCAAGTATAAATAAATAAATAAAAATTATTTTTATACTCACTCATTCACTCGCTGACACGTGTTAATGTTCCATTGGCCCTTGCCGTTGTGGCCAATCAGGGACCAGTATGTTGTGTAAATAATAGAGTGTGAGTTGTAAATGTGAGCTTATTTATTATGGCATTGAAGAGCGCCGCCTGGGAGTCTGAAAGCGGACGAAAACAAGGACTGTGTATTAAATAAATAAATAGTAATAAAATCTTTCTTTTTTTTTAAATAATAAAATTAAGAAATAAAATCAATTGCAGCAAGTGAAGGGGCATTAATGGTACATCCCTATGTCACTCGGCATCACCCTTGTACTAGCCTGTGCTACAGAAGCACTATGGTGGTCCCAATTGTCACCTTGGTTACCAAGCAAGGAAAACGAAAACAAGAACAAATATTTTGCTTCCTTGGGGCTCAAACTTTTATTGGATTTTAGGGTGGAAAGATTATGGAAATTACAGTGCATAAACTTTTTCTTTTTCAGTTGAAAGAAAGAATTTAATTTTTCTCATAAAGAGGGGAAAAAAAACCCATTTTTCATGGGAAAAATGTTACCATGCAGTGCAGCATGCAAAGTAGGTCTCCATAGTTTTTTTTTTTTTTTTTTTTTTTTTTCATATTTCAGTCATTTCACTAGGAAATTGTTCAACTCAAAAAGTGTTTTTGTGTATTTTTAACACTTTTGTGTTGATTTTAAGTCAATTGGGCATAGAATGGGCTCAATGTGCTTATGTATAGTTTAGTTTTTGACAGTGGCGGAGCTAGGAATTTATATGTTGGAGAGCCAACATATAAACCAAACAAGACATTAAAAAATTTCAAATTTTCAACCTTAATAATGTTTGGAAAAATAAAAAGCATAAAATTATCAAAATAACACTCGTCGTTCTTTCATATCTCGAAAACCATCTATGACTGAGTCAATGCTAAATTTTTCTGCAATTTCCCTTTCGATGTACATAATCAAAGAGTCTGTGAGAAATTCGTTTTCCATCTTGTTACGAAGCCTAATTTTTACTATACGCATAGCAGAAAATGATCGCTCTGAAGTTGCAATAGAAATAGGAAGAGTAAGCACAAGCACAATTACTCTATAAACAAGTGGATATGTCGTTGATATTCTAGTTGTTACCATCCATTGAGATATATCAGAAATTGTTGACAAATTTTCGAACTCTGGAAGTTGAACGACGTCATTCTCAAAATGTTGAAGTTATCTTCTCAAACCTATCTTCTCATGATCTTCAAAGTCTTGCGGGTAGAACTTATCTACCAATTGACAAATATCATCAATTCTAAAAGATTTTATCACTTCACGAGGATCCAAAGCCGACCCTAGAATAAGCAACTCTGTTGTTTGATCACTAAATCTGCTATTTAATTCTTGGAGTTGAGAATCTATTGCAGCATAAAAAAATATCTATCATGTAATAATGCTTAATCGTAAAATCATCTTGTTGATGGCAAGCTCGACCTCGTCTTGCAACATAATGAGCATTCATATCTAGGATATCAATGTTATGTGATTCACAAAAAGAATTCACCTTGGTAAGCAAAGAATCCCATCCATCATCTCTTAATTTTTGGATGAGTGCTTTAGTGGAAGGAACATGATTCATGGCATTTACAATATCTTGGGATTGACATTGCAAAGCTTGACAAAGATCATTAGTGATCTCCATAAGTTCTTTCATAAGATGTAAGATAAAGACAAATTCATATGAAGTCATTGCCAGCATCTCCTCATTATTAGAACTGTGCATGTTGCACTAAACATATTTACCAAGCTAGTAATTTATTTCAAATGAGAACCTCAACAAGTATCACTAGCACATTGTAAGCTGCCAATTTGGTTCATTCCTTTTCCAATCTGAAGCTCATCAATTGCAATCATGTGCTCAATTTCAGCAGCTTGAGCATTTTTCAGTTTCTCATTACGCTTGCATGAAGCACCAACAATATTGACAATAGAAGTCAATTTAGTGCAAAAGTGGTGAACATTAATAACTTCTCTTGATCATTAATGCCAATTGTAATCGATGTGCTAAACAATGAACATAGTAAGCATATGAGCAAGCATTCAAAATCATAGCTTGTAACCCATTCCATTCACCTCACATGTTACTTGCACCATCGTATCCATGTCCTCTAATATTTTGAAGACAATATAGAGTATATACATTTTTTCAGCATTAATGTCTCAGTGTCTAACACATGAACAAGCCCAAAAAAAATGATTCTGAATAAGACCTTCTTTGTCAACAAACCACAACACTATAGCCATTTGCTCTCTCTTGGATTCATCACGCACTTCATCAACAATTATACAAAACTTTGATTCCCCAATTTCTTCATAGATTGCTTTCTTCACTTTAGTTGAAAAAATATGTAAAATTTCTTTTTGGATCTGTGGTGATGTGTATGAGGCATTTTTGGGAGCTTTATCTAAGACAACTCCATCAACTTTTTCATTATATGCAGCCAATATTTCGAACATTTGAAGAAAATTTCCACGATTGATTGAATTCCTTTTTTCATCATGGTCTCTAAAAGCACATCCTTGGAATGCAAGCCACCTGACTACTTCAATTTTTACCTTAAGTCGTAGTCAATTGTCTGCAATTTGTTGGGAAGAATAATTCTCAACGACTTTCTATATATGTTGGGATTGATTCATCAAATCCAAACATGATATTTCGGCAATTTTATGAGGGGAGTTGGGATCTTTCCCCTCGTGATTTAGAAAAGAACACTTTTTCCATCTCTAACTTTCTTCCAACTTTGAAATCCCTCAAGAGTGAAAGCATTTTTCCCAGAATGTCCAGATGGTTTGTTAAAAAGATAGCACGGTAGATAAAAAGCTACATCTTTCACAGGTG